GCGAGGAGTGGCACGAATCATCCATTGCGCCCGAGGTATCATAGAAAACAGTACATGTAATTCTATTCATTTCTAAATTTCTGGATATTAGTGTTGATGGTCAAGTCTTCTATTGTATTGCCAGGCCCCGGAGGAGTGTCCTGATGGAGAACAGGTTGCTGGCGGAATCTTGGCTGAAGATATGGCTCAATACTGACTGGGGGTCATCTCTAGACTTGATTTTCCCATATGCTGATATTCGAGGAGGCGCTGGGAGCGCGGACGATTGGCACGAAGATTGGGATGAAGGAATCCGGGCTTGAACCATCATGATGAGTAGCCTGGCATCTGCGATTCTCAGGTGAGGATGCCGAAGAGGGCGAGGATGAGATCGATGGAGATATTGGAGGGGAATGGCCTCCTGATGAGGAGGATGTTGAGCCCTTGGTTCCGGCGGCTTTGGATGATGTGTGCCCAGAGCGCACTCCAGAGGAGATGCCGTGGGTTGATGCTAGTTCCTTGCTTCAGTTCAATAAGGGTTTGGGGAGTTAGGACTTACGGATTTACGTTTGGGGCGCATGCGCAATTGATCACTGCTTCAATATAGCTGAGGCGCTCTGGTTGAGAAGGGTTGGGGCCCTGATTATTATGGCGAAGAGTGGAATGAGCAGGCGCAAGCCTACGTTGAGGCAGTGGCTCCCTCCTCGAGTGCCAAGCCTGTGTGGGTGAATTGGGAAGGGGAGTGGCCGAAGGAGTCTCCTTTGCCGACCCCTACTAAGACCCCCAAGCCCTCAAAGAGCAAGGGTAGCCCCAGCAGCTCAACCCCGAAGCCCAAGACCAGGGCCACCAATACAGACGAATCATACAAGGACAAGTTTGCCGTTCCCCCACTCACCCCCGAAGAGATGGAGCGATACGATGCCTGGTGGGCCAAGTACAAGGGGGGCGCCGGGACTTTGGATGCCAAGGCACGGTCTGATTAAGCTTGGTTCAGGGGGTTGTTTCAAAATTTCAAATAATTGAATGTCTTTTGCTCAGGCACACAATGATACCATCCCTCGAGAGGATTCTGCCTCGGCCCCTTCGCTGGAGGACACACACGTGAAACATGATTATATATGTCTACATGTACATGACTGCTAGCTCCATTCGGATCCCTGCTCTGCTACACTGATAGGACCTCATGCAGCAAATCAAGACAACGGATATTGGGCCTGGTATGATTGAGCTATGCCAGAAATTGGTTGAGTCGGCAAAGGCATTTTGACTTTTCATTTGTGTTTTTTCTGTCTTTAACATGCGCGCAGGCGGCCCCTGCTCCGGCTGCATCGCCAAAGAAAAAGCTGTTTCTGGGCTGCGTTTCAATTCTACTCTGGACAAGTACTGTTGGAAATTCCTTCGACTTAAGCGGGCCCAAATTACGCAACACCCCTACCTGTGCTGTCGACCCTGGATTCCTAAATCCAACATAAGCCCTAAACTTAATTATAAACCCTACACCCCCAAACCCTCCTAAGCCCTAAAACCTGCAGCTCTAAATCCTCTTATAAACCCCGAGCCCTCTGAATCCTAAGCCCTATATAGACCCCATAAACCCTAAGCCCTATATATAACCCTGTCTTCCCTTCAAACCTTAAACCCAAAACCCAACCAGGCCGCTGCCTGCAACCTCTCATGCTGCCAACGTGAAGGCGGAGAGTGTGATTATTATTTAGGGTTGGAATTATGAGGGGGTCAGGGTTATAAGTTAGGGTGAGATCGAAGTTATATATAGGGGCAATGGTGCCGGGCAACGGGGCTCGGTATAATTCAATACTTATCGAGACCTCAAGGATTATACAAGGAATAATTAGAGGCGTTGCCAGCCTGTGAGAAATTCCAGAAAGATGCCGGATTATGGGTTTTGTAAGAGTTTAAGGTTTATTGTTTTTTGAAGAGTTTAGGGTTTTAGGGTCATTGCACAAACCCAGGCTAATTTTAAAAGGGACCGAGTCGTATTTCACAGAACATATTATATGATAATGGGTATATTTATCGGGTGATTACTTATACTTATTCTCCTTCCCAATAAACCTCCTCATGCCAAAACCCCACTTTTGCTTCGCAAGGCGGATCAAGCTGGATCCGATCGAGCAAGGTCTGCCACTGGTCCTGCAGTGGCTAGGTTGAGCAGTGGCTTCATTCTTGCGGTTTGTGGTATGAGAAATGGCTCTAAATTATAGTCAACCTATAGTGGTAGCTAAGGAGTTCCTGATCACCATGCAGAAATGCAGCAATGCTTTGCCTGCAAGCGCTCATGATGCATGCCTGGGGGGGGGGCATACCCCGGTGAACCCTCACCGACAGCGTTTGTTAGTGGCGTGCAACAAGGCTGCGAAAATCCCAAAGGCCCCGGGCGCAAAGGCGAAGCCAAAGAACCCAGCCCCAGCTATGGATCCAGTTCAGCAGCCCAAGGACCCGAAGCCAGCTGCCCCAAAGAAGCCGAAGCAAGCAGAAGCAAAGGCTGCCCCGTCCAAGAGTAAGAACCCTGCATCAGAAACCGGGTACATGGTGGAGAAAAATCGATTCCTAGCAACGCTCCTTGGGCTCAAATGTGCGATTACGACAACTTGCTAATGACTTCCTAACAACTTCCTAGCTTCATGTATTGCAGCGCCATTGCGTTAACACCACAGACCCTGAACATGCTGCCAACGCCGAACCAAGGCTTCCAGAGCACATGACGAGGCGTGAGAGAGAGAGCAGGTGGGGAGAATGTTGGAGTTTCATGTGTAAAGGATAGGCCAACAGCAATCCTTCAATGTACTGCCTAGGTGGAAGACGTCCACCGAACGACAAAGCTTCCTCGACACCCTCTCCGCTTCAGAGGAGAAGAGAAGGAGGTACTGTTAGATCGCTAGCAGGTTTTGCCTTTGCTGCTTGAAAGTCGGCACAAGTTGCTGCATGAATCAATTATCGGGCGTAGCTGTTGTAATTACAACTGCTACTTTTCCTGATGTGGGGTCACACGCGCATCTGTCCTTCGGCGCGAAAAAATGATTGGAACTTCGACGCAGTGCTCGCATGGGCGCCGAATGAATAGCCTTGGATCCAGCTGCATTCAATTTGGCGCTTCGTGTCTGGCTTCCAAGAAGTTTTGTTCTGCACGGCCATGGGCTTTCGAGTGCTATATGTTTGCTCCCCACTACAATCATAAGTCAAGATACCTGGCTCCCATCGTTTTCCAGCAACATATAACTGGAAGTCTCGCTAGATCCACTGCGTGATGAAATATTCACGCCTAGCCGCAGTTTGTGCCGTGCTTGCCCTCAGCGCTTGCCCTAGCTGAAATCTGTATGTAACCCCCTATAGGAACTGTTAATCCCACTTCATGAAATCAGGTTTTGGGCTCCGTGATGATGATCTTGATGCTCTCGACTTTCTAGAGGTTTTCTCAGGACTGTTGTTGGCAATACTTGGGAATCCTAGGGGCTAGCTTCGAGAGTTGCAGGATCCCACATCTTGACATCCGCGGTATTGGCACTGGGGTTCCGTGCCAAGGGGCTGGATGAAGCTTGCCTATGGAGAACTTATTCGTGGTTACATCTTGGCCTGTTGCCTGTTCAATTCATGTTCCCCCTCCCCAAGCTTGCCCTGGCAAGATCCGATGTGCTTTACAGCCGGAAATTGGATATCGAAACCCCGTTCGGTTTCTTGACGTTTTTGTACAATGTCCCTTGGTTGTACATCAGTTATAACCACATTGCTGACTCATGTTGCGTTGCATGTGATCTGTTGCTTGACGATCGCGCTACAGGCGAGACGACTACTTTATGGAGGGGTGGCATGGTATGCTGTGCCTTGCTCGTCCTTCGTGTTCATGTGCCCGGGCAGATTTACGGTTTACGGTTTTATATAGGGCCTATATATTGGGTGGGGTTTACACTTGCTACATACCTGTCATTTGGGCGAACCCTGTGTAACAAGTTACCAAGTGGAACTGTCCATCCTCAAATATCAAGGTCCAGAGGCTCATCGGGTCGCCGGAGATTGAATGTGAAAGGCAATGCTTCTTTGGGGTAAACTTACTGGACTATAATCCTTGATTGTCAGGCTCCAAAAAAAGGCGTGCTGTGGCTTCAGCAAACAGGATCGCTAGGAGGGTGAGCTACTTGCTGCCTGGCTCACGTTGACCAATTATAGAAGCTGCTGTCCATCGTTGATGTTCTTCACCATGTGGACACATACCTGGGTCTGCGCAACTAAGGCTCGAGTATCACTATCGGGCCGGGCACTACTACGTATTAGAGAATCCGCTGAATTCTCTACTCTTTGAACAGCCTTCCATCAAGGCAGCTTGCTCCAGAAATTAGGAGCCCTCATTCAGCCTCTTAGACCCCAAGCATGTCATGTTGATCACTTGCTACAACTATGCAGTCCCGTCTTCGGGCCCACCGTGCAATTGGCGTCAACGTATCCTTGAGGGCGCTGGGGGCTCCGACTGCCAAGGTAGAAACTTATCTGCAGGGATTTACGGTATACATACGCAATTGCTGGCATGTTTTTGGAAAGCTCAGGTTACCTTGTGGGGCACTGCGCCGTTTATCAAAGATATTCAAGAGCAAATGACAGCTGGGCGAAGGCCAGGTTTCTGCTGCTTACAAGGGCTGCTTGCAATCCCTTCAAGTGTATGTGTCTCTAGACTCCGGGCAGGGCTCAGTTGGGACGGATTAAATCCTTCCTGAAGTTGGACGTGGCACGACGATATGTCGATCGTTCTGGTCGAGAGAGGACGGTTCCTTGGCTGTGCGTTGTGAAATTCTTTAGGATCCAGAATCTAAAAAGTGTTGAAACTTGGGGCACCAGGCATCCGAAGGGTTTTATAAGAAGACCTCTATTGTTCAGTGCCGTTACATATGTCACCCTATATACCAACGCACCGTCCTTATAAACAATCCTGGCTCCCTCGATCCAACAAAGCAAGCTGCCATCTGTACACTCTTTTTTGTTCGAAGATTTATAATGGGAATGTCTGAGCCCAGGCTGGTGGAAAGGACCTGCGTGCCACTGGTACATATCCGGGGGTGATGGGCCTCAAGGTTGCTTGACTTTATCAATGAATTTGTTATTGACGGATTACGGGTTAACCTGGGCCTGAGGTTGCAGGCTTGCTTGGGAAGCACCTGGCAAGCTTGAAGACCAAACGCGGGCCACCGGAGGGTACTATGAAGTTCTACGACTCTGGCCCTGAGACTGATTCCGATTCAGGTCTAGAGGATCTGCTGGGCCGCCCTAGCTAGTTCATTAGCTGTGGGGTGCACATGTTTGCCTAAAGGCGAGCAAGGTGCGATTCAAGCAAGACCCTTGCTCAAAAGTTCATACCCTCCATGCAGATTGAGTATGTGTATATAACTAGTCTTACTGACTGCGGATCGGATTGCATGGGTAAGGGTCTAGCTTGGGATGGGCTATTAGATCAGCAGACATTAATATAGGCATTGCAAGCTGCCTGCTGGTGTTCTTAATATGCAACCACAACGACTTCAATTAGGTGCTAATAGCCTGTCCTTCAGGGGAAAAGGTTGCCAGGTGGCCAAGTATGGAGCCATGCTGCAGACTTTGTGGAATTGCCGGTTCCGATGAGGACCGTGTATCACCGTGTATCTGCGTGTATTTGCCGCTTAATAAGGGGCTAATACCGTGTAGCACCGTGTACGTCGCTTATTCAATTTGGGCAATCTGGCATCTTGTGATCTCACGCAGCTTGCTTGAACAGATCTGTCTATATTCATCCTCTATATAGGTGGCGCCCATGGCTGCGCCAAAGGGTTCATGTGGGAAAGGTGGCAACCCTGCTACCAGTTCAGGAGCTGTTTGGCCGGGGTCTTCTCAGCAGAAGATCACTGCCGATGAGCACGGAACATATTTAGAGACGGCTCCCAGACAATACGTGCTGCTGAGCAACTCCCCAGCTGAAGCAGCAGCCAGTCCTAAGGGCAAGGGCAAACAGCGCGCGAAGGGGAAGTCTAAGGTGCCCCGTGGCCCTGCCTCTTCGGGCGAGGCTGCCGAGAAAGGCAAAGGAGCCTTGGATCAGAAAGGTTCAGCTTTGAAGGGCAAGGGCAAAGGGGCTAAGAATGGGGCAAGTGCCATTGCTCCTATTACTACTGAGGGGGTGAAGGGCAAATCGCCTGCAGGCAAGTCCAGCAAAGGCTTTGGTAAAAGCGGGAAGCCTGGGAAGTGTGCCAGTCATGAGCCTTCAGTGCCTGAGCATGCGGTAAGCAAGACAGAGTCGGTTGATGGCGCTGCAGCAGCATTAACGCCACCGCCGCGTCCCCCCGCGACACCACAAGCCAAGGGTGGTCGAAGCAACCCAACCCCAGAGGCCCCCCCTTCCGAGTGCAAAGGTGCTCCTGCCAAAGGAGATGGCAAGGGTAAGGGAGAGACCCCCAACAAAGGTCAAGGCAAGCACCTCGCTTCCTCTGTGAAGAGTGAGCCGCCACCCCGCCTGCTACTCCAAAAGGCCAGGGCAAGACGAAGCACCCAGCAGCAGACAACACGTTGCCAGCAAGCAAGGGTGAAGGCAAAGCACCGAGCCCCCCAGCAGAGACCAGGTCTCCAGCGAACAAGGGCAATGGCAACACCCCGAGCCCCACAAACAAAGGCACGGGCAAAGGCAAACCCGCGAGCCCCCCAGCAGAGAGTGGATCTCCAGCGAACA